CTGTTGTAAGCCTGAGCTACTATGCAAAAGGAGTGCAAAAGGAATGCAAAATTCATATTCCCCCAAAAAGAACTGGCATGACCATCCTACCCCACTGCCACTGAGCACAGAGGGTACCAAATTATTCTCTTTGCTCCTAATGAAGCTCCTGTTACATCCAGTAACTCTGGAAGAAAGATAATTTGGGACTCCCTGACCCACCTTTCTCCCCAAGGAAGACTTCTTGTCATTGAGAGCAACTTTCTCATCTACTCCAATTATACTTTCTGTTTTTGTATTTCCCAGTGGTCTTGAAAGGTTAAAGCATATTTCTAGGAATTTTTAGAGCTGTCTGTTCAAGTACTCTCAGATGGGTAAGGATTCCAGTAATCTTTTGACTTCTGACTTGATAAGATGATTTAACAAGGTCCATCTACTGTGTATCTGCTTTTTAAGAAGATGGCTAAGGAGCAGTGCAAGAACAGAGCAAGTATACATACCATAGTACTTCACACTGGCATAGCTCTAGTGTTGCAATGATTGAGACAGTCAGGGAAAGGCATTGACTCCGCTCTGAGCTGAATTTATTACCTATGTTGGGCAAGACCTGGTTGCCTGAGGGTCTGAGGACCTCAGGCTTCTCACCATAGAAAAACAGATCTTGGGCATCTCCCTGGTCACAATGAAACATGAAACACAGACCACATGGTGAACTGCCATAGAAATTTTCTCTCTGAAATGGAGCTATTTTACTTTAACATGCCCATAAGGACAGGCAATCTTGCACAGCAGGTGGCTGAAATGTCCCTTTGAATTTAGGAAATAAAAACATGTTTACAGGCTTAAATATTCCGTCTGCCTGTCCTGAAGAAAGGCTGCAGATACCCCATAGAAAGACGCATATATGCTTATGTAATACATTCAGATTTTAAATGAGTAGTATTTCAGCTCTTCTTATGTTCCCAGCATTTCCTGGTGAATAATTGCAATAGCTGCATGCTGTTTGGGGTTCTCTCTGAGCAACTCTGGCCACTTTTTGCCTGTGGGGTTACACCCAGGCCTGAGATGCTGAATTCATCTCAGTACCAAACAGTGCTGACCCTGGGCAGGCATCCTTAACTAGTTTTTAAATAACCAGATTGTCAATCAATATTTCTGAGATGTTTACTTACTGGGCAGCCTACAGCAACTCTCCAGTAGTCGTTGCTCCCACCAATATATCTGGGACACTCCACAGTCCTGAAAATAGAAATCAGCTGGACAATTTGGCAGCATGTGTATCTCAGAGAAGTTCAGTGTAGGGGTTGGGAGTGGTGGGGAGGAGACATTATTGTTTTGTTATTTTCCTAAGGTACCTTCTTCAGCTATACCAGTTAAGTGAAGAGCTGGAAAGTCCTGGCTTGTCTTTAAAGCACAAGACTTTGGGAAAGTGACCTAACTCAGGGCATATATTCTACAAACCAGACATCTCGCTAAATGTATGGACATGTAACTTTAACTGCTCATCGTTATTTTTGATCTTTTTTGGATGTGTACTAGGTCCATAGTAGACACGAATCTTTGAATATAGTTGAAGAATTAAGATTTTGATTAAGTGAACACCATGGGAACTAAGTCACCATCCTTTTGGAGATGTATCTTTTTTTGTTTGGACTGCCTTGGGCTCAGGCTCTAAACTGTCAGATGCAGCACCACTGGGATTTCAAAACATCAGATACAGCTCTCAGCAGCTTATTAGCTGTGGGATGGCGCCAGCACTTAGACTGAGGCCTGCTGGCACAAAATAGGATTTAGCAGTTTAGTGAAACCTTGAGGGTTTTAAGGATGTCAGTGATATTTGAAAAATGGCATAGGGGGGAAAACTTGAATATTTGTCACTTACTGACTTTAGCTCAGATGCTCTGCTGTGTTAAGATGCAGTCTGATGTAGCAGAGAAGGAGCATAACAGAAAAGTGCACTAAAGCTCATTGCCTTCAGGACATAGCTATTCTTTTCTGATCACCAGAACAAGTTAGAGTAGTTTCTCGGTTGCTGCCATGGAGCTAGCCAGAGAGGAAGAGATATGGTGCATAACGCTCACCTCTGTCCCCACAAATGTAAACCACAGTCTCAGATGAATTATGCCAATATCTTATTCATCAAAAGCACCTTTAGATGATGGACAGCCATTTTCAGAAGGTATCTTATTTCTTGACACAGACCAAATGCTGCAACGATGAAAGCAGCTAAGAAACTGGCTCTAAGTGTTCAAACACATTAGGAATAGTTGTCCTTGGCAAGGTCAAAGAGTACATCACTGCCTGATGTACCAAGGCTGCAGATGCTGCTTCTACAAGAATGCCATGGTACAGTAAGTAACATGCATAGAAGAGAGTGGCTCGAAAGAGTTTGCAAATTATATTGAGGGGAAATGGACCAGCAGCCTGGATGCCACTTACCTCCCTGGAGCTCTGATAAAACAAGGGTATCAGTGATCTGACTGAATGAAAATGGTGGTCTCCCTAGCAAAAGTTTTGAGTAGATGTGAGCTAACTCATATCTATCTATCAGAGGGGCCACCTTTCCACACAGAGTCCTTCCAGGATAATGGACTCTTTTCCTTTTTGTGATCTGTTTGGTCCCATCATATATTTGACCAGAATACAAATATTGGGAAATCAGGTATTTGAACAAAGGTTCTTTGTGAGAGTTATCTAAGGAGAAGGGTCTAAACCCACGCCCTTAAGGGTCTCAACTCCTGCCTATAGCCTGAGGAATTAGAATACTACTTTTGTGAGTAAATTGACTACCAAATTTCTTATCAAAGTGCCAAAGACAGCACATCATGGTCAGTATGTAAAGAATAGGATAAGGTGAAAAAAATAAAAAGCCTTTATAGGTCAATTTTAACAACATTTTCTAAAGCAGCCATGGACTGGGAATGATCCCTAAAATTGACCTTCCATGGAAAGAGCATTAATCTCAAAATCAGTGTGAAGATTGAGGGCTTTTTATGACCTGGAATACAGGTGCATCTTGAACACCTTTTTGTGTGTAACCAGATGTCTACAGTCATGGTAAGTCTTGCAAAAAAAAAAAAATTTTTTTTGAAAGCAGCAGTCACAACTGGAACAGGTCTTCCCTGTAACTGAATTGATCCCATCAGAATGTCATTAAGACTGGAACATAACTGAATAGCTTCTTGAAAACTGTAGAAAAACGAAGTAGAGAGCATAAGGGTCAGAGTATCACAATTCCTAGGCAATGAACTGTGAGGATCCTTTCTTTAGCTGTAATTTTAAACAGCATTTCTCTTTGGCTTTCCACAAGCTTATAAAGTATAGGAAAACCACTACCAGAAGTTCAAATTTTTTAATAACAGAATTAATTCAAGGACAGTGAACACTCTTACAAGCCTCTTAACTTTCTACTTGAAGGTAAATGACAAAAGTGTGCACCCTGTTCATAAGACAAACTCATTTACCTTCTCGTTCCTGAAGCACAATACAATGTAACTCCTCTACAGAAACTTCTCTTGTTTTTTCTTATTCAAGCATTTATTAGAAGGAGTTACTCCAGAGTAACACCATTTGCTAAAGTGTGGAGTGATTATTGAGTAACAGCACCTCTCTTCCTCTGCTCATCACAGGCAACAGGGGATCATTAGAAAGTCTGGTATCACATATATAGATCATTACAGTGTTAATACAGGGAAATCTGTCAGAAAACCACCACAGCAATATGCTTTTCCAGATCAAAATAATGTTTTTTTGCCCTGGTGTGGGAGATAAATAGACAAAACAAGGTATATGTGTAAATTCCCTGAGGGAATCGTGAACTGTTTCATGAACACTGTCTGACACAGCACATGCTACAGATCACATTGTGAAAGAAAAGATGTTTAGTGCTCTGCATCCGTCTTTTTTACCCTACCAAATAGGAACTACATCCAGCTTAGGGCAAATTTTGTCCCATCAGTACTATCTGAGGTCTACACCTTTGCAAAGGCACCCATAACTCACCCTTTTACTGCCTTCTTCGTAACTCTGGACATCAACAGCCTCTGAATAAAGCCATCAAATTTCCTAGCAACAGCCCAGACACATGATCTAATACCATTAAACTGCTTAGCTGACAGTGATGCCTCGAATTAAATGAACATCAGTAGAACTCCCTGCTGGCAAGGACTAACTACTTCCAGTTACCTTAACAAAACTGGGTCAAGGGACATAGCTTGTTGTAGTTAACTTGCAGCAAATAGTAAGTTGACCAGCTCAATGCAACATCACCACAATCATCTAAATCTGGAGGGTGAGAAAATTTCTGGGAACTAAATTTGACCACATAGTAAGCTGTCAAAGGCAATGAAAAAATTGCCTATCTGTAACAACTTCATCTTGAAGCTTTGGCTATTTCAGCAGTAGCTTGCTTCCTATTGTATCATAATCTATCCTATGACCCATTTTAATTAGTGGCCCCAAACAGATAGTGTTCAAAAAATAACCAGCGAAGTGCTTTATACTAGCTTTCAGAAGTTTTCTATTTTAACACACTGCAGGTGCTGCTGCAGTATCTGCTTTCAGCCACAGATCTGTGTTCAAACAAACTGACAAGGTACATTGAGAACCATCCAGCTACTTGCTAGATCCATTTCTTTTCACCACTGCCACTCTCAGGTCAGTTAAGTAGCTAATCTCTCTCCACTGCCTCTTCCTGTTGGTCTCCACAGACTATAGTTCTTCTTAGCTGGCCTAAAAAAACACTCTGCAGGCAGAAAGCTATGACAAAGTATTTAGCCAAAGGTTCTCTTTCCTCCCTGTGTATCTGCAGAGGCTTCTTTGTTTCTTGTAACTGCTTTTTTCCCTAGTGCACTGGCCATATGGCAGATGTCTGTAGTGCATAAAGTGTCAGGCACTCCACAAAAAAAAGGCATTCTCATTTTAAGGTTGTCAAACATATTTGCAATGACACCTCATAGTGAGGTTTGCAACATCCTTTAACAGGTGGAAACAGCAGTGAGGTTGCATAAACAGAGGTAGATCAACAAGCACAAGCAGGCCTGTGGGATAAACCCAAATAAACTATGGTAGGGCTTTGGCATGACCCATTTGAAGAATGACAGAATACAGGTTCCCTATGAGACAGCCAGCTGTGTGTAAATTGTAAGATATTATATAATAATAAAAGGGCATTCAAATAAACTTGGTTCCAAAATACCCTGCATGCATTATAAATGTCTGATAGATGAAAGCTATTCAACAACTGCAAGTAATACAACTCCCTTACCTACAGCCCTACAGTGTGCTGTTGTCAGAGTACTACCGTCTACATGAGGAAACATTTGCAGTGGTTTGCCCTATTTTTAAAATATGTGATATTCTTTTGTTGTTGGTTGGTTTGTTGCTTTTTTTTTTTACTTATCTCTTATCTTTTGGTAGTCAATTTTCCTTGAGTTTATTTGTTATCAATACAAGTGCATACAGCTGTATTTGAATAACATCTGAAATGCATGTCTGTCAGTGCCTGAAAAGGAGAATCAAATACGGTCTGAAAAGGCAAAATCATTGGCACTGCCAAGGCTTTGACGGTGCAAGCTTTAATTTTCAACTCATAGTGGCAAACTAAACCGACAGTATCAGAGCACTTCACAGATTTGTTTTTAACAGGCGCTGAGGGAGGGGAGGTTGCACTGCTAGGAGAAGGTTGGAGCTAAATGAAGTTTAAAAGTAGAATGCACATCTACCACCAAACTTTTAAAATAATGGAATGTAAGTGCCTTTGAAATCATATAGAATAACAGAAGGTCTTTTAAGGGTGAGTTCCTAGTAAGAGTTGGAGAAGATTTCTGTTGTCACTTTCAATACAAATTTCTTATTACTACTGTGGGAGGCTGTTAAGTGTGAGCCACTCTCTCTTCTGTATGTACCCAGGATAAATCAGGGGACACTCACTGAACTGCACAGCCCTTAGATTTCCAAAGCCTATTTCCTCAGCTGTAAAACTGAATTACAGTACCTGTTCGTTCTTCTGTAGAGCCTTCCAGACAAGGTGTAATGACTGTGCCTGGCACTGCATGGAAAAACAAACTTACATCTTGACACAAAAAGTCTTCAGCTGGCACACAGCATGGGCTGGATGTTATAACTTTCTACCAACTCAAGCTGTCATTTTCCATGTGAGAGCATTCCCCCTCCAGTCTTCAGGCATCTACCTCTTTATACAACTGCTTCCAGGGGGATTGCATGCTACAGCTGGAAAACTCTTTACTGAAATTTTCCAGTGTTTCAGAGGGCTTCTTTCTGCCTAAAATGGGTGTTGCAGTTAGAAGTAAGAACTTCTGAAGACAACAAATAATTTTAAACACAGTCATCAGATTATGCTCCTTGCCAGGAGGTAATGCCTTTCTGATCTGTAATTTCCTTTTCCAGTAGGACTGTCAGTGGAATGATACACTCATTACCTCATTGCATGAGTTTGCTTATCTAAAAACAACTTAAAAATGTTCCAGCAACTGAGTAAATCTAAAAGTGAAACTTTAAATGTTTTAAATGTGGGATATGGCACAATACCAAGCACTTATTAAACAGACAAGTATAAAGAGTTGTGAAAATATGGTTTTTACTGATTTTCCAGACCAAAAGTTCTGGAAATGATCCATACACTGTTATAGGTTATAATGAATATGACGTCAAAAGCAAAGTGGTGGTTAGAGAAACATTGCTCATTTATTTGTTAATTTTATAATCTTTACCAGATGTATAGAATTTCTATAGTATTTCCCTCTCCCCATTACAGAATGTCAGATTGAAACTAAGTTTTTTATTTTTCTCTAAATACAAATTTGGTGACCATTGCAATACTGACCCAAACCCTTTCTCTTGTTATTGCCTCTGAGGAAAGCCCAAGTAAGTAGAATTAGGTAGTGCATTTCAAGAATTTAAAGTGAATGAAGTCATGGTGACATGGTTTAGTGTGAGGTGTTCCTGCCCATGGGAGGGGGGTTGAAACTAGATGATCTTAAGGTCCTTTCCAACCCTAACTATTCTATGATACTATGCCTAAAGTGTGTTATAGAAAGCACTGAAACATCACTCTGTTGCCAGTGCTACAGATCATAAGCCTTTACTTTTATAGTTGTACATAAGGGAAGCCAGTTACCCAAGAATGTGTATTACTGTGGGCTGATCTCCACCTGTACCTTTCCTTGACACCCTCCCAAAAGATTTCTGTCCTTGACCAGGGAGTCTGGTATTATCTGAACAAGCACAAGTGTTTGAAAAGTCATAAATAGATAGGTAACTAACCATAAAATAGAGATTTCAAAACAATTGCTCAAATGTAAACTACTTTGTTTTACAGCTTCAGTTGCTGGAATATATCTCACCTCATTTGTCTTACAACAATGCTAAACAGCTGTAGCTAGTGCAGATCAGCTTCATATTTTGTTGCCTTAACCTTACTGCTTAATTTAATAATACGAGTTTGATTTATTTTGGGGTTTTGGGTATCATGTGTTTTGTTGTTCGGTGGGTGTCATGGTTTAAACTCAGTCAGACAGCTCGTTCACTCACTTACCCCCTTCTTGCTCTCCCCCTACTCCCGGAGGGATGGAGAGGAAAATCAAAAGAATGCAACTCCCCTGGGTTGAGATAAGAACAGTTTAGTAACTAAGGTATAACACAAATCACTACTGCTACCACCAATGATAATAATGATAAAGGAAATAACAAGGGAAGAGAATACAACACCTCACTACCCGCCGACCAATAACTCGCTCCCCCAGCCTGACCAAGCACCGACCGATACCTCCTTCAACCCTGCTGTGAACTAGCCCTTCTGGGTAACTCTCAGTTACATCCTGGGCATGACGTGCTGTGGTATGGAATACCTCTTTGGTCACTTTGGGTCAGGTGTCCTGTCTCTGCCTCCTCCCGGCTTCTCTCCTCCCTGGCAGAACATGAGGCTCAGAAAGTCCTTGGTCAGACGAAAACATCAGTGTTATCAGCTCTGTTCCCAGGCTGAAAGTCAAAACACAGCACTGCACCAGCTACTAAGAAGGAGAAAAATGACTGCTACTGCTGAGCCCAGGACAGTGGGTTATTTTGTTTGGTTTGGTTTAGTTTAGCTTTTTGCTTTTTTTTCATCTACTGGAGCATTAGGGTTTTTTGCAATTAACAATTTTTTAGAGTGTAACATTGCCAAGTCACTTCTTCTCCTAGGATTGTATCTTCAAAAAGAAATCATATGAAGATAAGGTGCCAAATAATCATATGGTCAATAATGTACACATCATTGTACCATAGGCTTATATGCTTATGGTTTCTGGGTTTTTGGGTTTTAAATTTTGTTAATACTGATTAAGATTCCTGTGTGACATGAGTAGACTGTAGTTATAGAGACACCTTTTTTAATGTAAGATGTCTGGAAAGGTTCTCTAAGATGTCAAGATTCAATTTGCTTGTGTCTTTCTATAGACGCTAAGCAGATATATCTTTTTTATTGCCTATATAATAATTCTCATCCTTCCTTACATTATCATATAAAATCCCACTGTCTTCCCTTTACCGTGGGATTTTCAAAATAACATGGCTTTGGCACTGGACTCGTATAATTTTTGTCAGTTCGACTGATTATGAAACTGCAGTCCAAATAGGCTTAATAGCTCCCTAAATAAGTATTTAAATATGAATTCTGATGAAGACTTACAGATTACCGTAATCAGTAGAAGTTGAAACACTAAGCACTCCCTTTGTAATCTACAAGGAAACTTTGGTCTGAACATATGTTTGTAAATGTCCACATACATGAAATGTCATTTTTTGTCATGAAAATGCATAAGCAAGGAATAGCAAGCAATAGACAAGACCGGCTTGTCAGGAGATTCACAGTCAAACTGACAAAGCTGTACTGAAACCACTGAAGAATTAGAGAGTGATTTTTATCTGCATGATAAAAATAATGGATTTTATTTTTGTTGTTAACCTTGATCTAAACATATTCTTTAAATGAAAACCTGCTTAATTCTTTAGTAGTATATAGTAATTTTGTATATATGCCAATGTTTAAATAAGATAGTACTGTGAAATAATTTTCAAATCAGCATGTCTTTTGAAAAGTTTTTTCTTCTGATTTCCTTGAAATCACAAGTGACTACTTAAATTCTTGTTAGTTTAGAGTCACCCATTCATTCTTTTCTCTCTTTAATTTGAATATATTGCAATTCAAAGGCTTTTCTTTGACGCTTCCCATCTAAAATAATTCTCAAGTGCAGCACTGGCTTCTACATTGTCTATGTGAAGTATTTTGCCTGGACACTAGTTGATCAAAAATCCATAGAAGCAGGAAAATTGTTTTTCAGCCTACATTGACTAAGGGAGGCTAGAAATCAGCAATGTTTCTGCACTGTATGTTATATTCCCACCTAGTGAGGAAACATCTACCTTACGCGTATCTTCTATGTGGCGGTTAATGATGTGTGTATAATCTACTATTCAGCATAGGTCCCATTCAGAAATCTAGACGCACACAGGAAGTGCCTACATTGTTCTCCCTGACTGCACTCACAGCTCTGTGACTGAAGTTATTGCAGGACAAATTTTATTTATATTTCATGATATTAGAACATAACCAAAGTGTACTAAAGTTTGGATCAGGATGAAACTTTCTGCCCTAATATTACTGAACAATTTTAATTTCAAGGTACTGCTACATAGCAATGCAAGAAGAAAATAAATTTCTGACTATTTTCTTTACTTAATAGTAATTAATAGACCTTACTTTTCTTGTCTAACAAGCTATACTTCTCAAATAAAATTTTATGCCTTACGTATCTTACTTATGAGCCATTAGAAAGAATATAAAACATAGAGTTCCACTTGCATGACAGTAAAACACTTTCTTAGTATCCCTCTCATTACATTTTTTCCAAAATAATTTTTGCAAGTGCTATGTACTTCTTCAGAAATATTAAAATAATAAATGTAAGCTAATCTCAAAGCTAATAACTTTTTTTTAAGAAACAGAAATCCCATAATAATCAAGTAAATAAGAAAAAGAGGAGCTATTTTGTGCTCTCTACATGGCAGAGGTTCTTTGGAGAATATCTGATACCTTGCTAGGTATGCAGTTAATTAATAGTAGGTGCAATTGGTAAAGCAGATCACAGCAGAATGGATATGCACTCAACAAAAACCACTTCATTGGTGATTTTCTTTTTGGGCTGAGATCAAATATAGTGCTTCACAAGAATATTAAAGGAATCAGAGCTATTAGGCTCTAGACTAGGAGCTATAAAGCAACAGCAAAGACAGATAAGAAAATAAATTAAACACATCTCCCAGTTCAAAACACATGGCCATAGCCCTAGCCCAACAAGGATGAGACAGAAAAATTTGCAGGATGAGTAGGCAGCTTTGCAATGAACATGCGTTCTAATTGTGTACACCAGCACATGAAGACTACTGGGAAGGGATATCTAATGGACATAACATTTTATTTAAAATGAAATCTCAAGTGAAATCAAAAATCTCCCTAGAAAAGACCCCTAGGGTTTAAGACATGACACTACAGTACATGCAAGATACATGGATGAAAGTTATTGGCATAATTACCTTAAAAATGGACAAAATTGTAATCCTGTACAATATAGTACTAGCGAAAGCCTGGCATCAGCACTCCTGAATAGAGGAAAATGGAAGGAGGGAGCCTGTAGCTACAGAGGTGGAGAGTTTTGTTTGTTTGCTTTCCTTTTTTCTTTTTCAAACAAGAAGCCAGGATTAGTCAAAATAAACATTTATTGTCATTGCTACACAACACCAAATTCAGCATTGCCATATCCAAGAATAAAGTAATTACAAATAACAGAAATATAAGGTCAATTAATACTTGAATTCAAGCTACTTTTCATTACATTTTGCAAACCCTTAAAAGCAGATCAAGATCCTGAATTTTCACACAAGACAAGCAGTCAAGTACATAAGTAAAAAGTCCGTGCATCATCAAGAGATTTCAGAGACAGTGCAAAAGATGAGCCCTTTTTAAGCAACTCGGACCCACTATGTCACAAACAGTATATGCCCCTACCTGCTACTATCAGTTAAGAGAGGGAGCTTTCTATCAAAATGAGATTTTGTTTAAAGACGTCAGATAGTATTTCCACAGCTTGATATGCAAGAAATATGGTTTTTAGTGTACATGAAAATCATCACGGACCTGAAAAAAAAAAAAAAATCAAATAACTAAATTATTTTTTTCTGGCTTCAAACTGATAGAGAAACTGAGAAATAAAAATGGCCAAAAATAAGCCAAGGCAAGCACAATAGCTGATATTGCCAACACTGTAAAAAATATCCCTTGGAAGAAGCAGAGGTTCTTGCTGTCAGAAAAAAATAACTGTTAACTTTGCTGAGACAGTCTTACTAAAGCACAAGAAAAGAGGAGATTATGCATGACAGCTGTTTTTTTTAGATGAATTATCTGTTATGGAAATAGCTCAGAGATGCTCACATTTCAACAAAATACAGGTGAAATACTGTCTTCTGTTATTCCCATGAAATATGTCTTAATGGAAAACAGCGGGAAAGTAGAATTTCCAATCAAAATGATGCAGTCCGGCTCTAATGCCTCTTTAGTTTTGTTAAAAAGTGGAACTCCACTCTTGAAACATAGCTTCTCACTACTGAATTTTTAAAACCAGCATTAGAAATTAACATCAGGGTAGCCTGGGACTTGTTGGCACGTACAGGCAAAGAAGGTGAACCAATAAACTTAGAATGTGAAGTTCCAGGAATTACCAACACTTTGTGAAAACAAGGATGTGTCCATCTCTGATGGGAAACAGCTGTCACTAACAGCAGAAACAGGTGGTAGCCAGACATATATGGGCACAGATAAGTGACATCTACAAATCCCAGCAGGCAGAGAATTAAGGTGCAGAGATGTTTGTTCAAGAAATCCTCCACAGAGGCAACGATAACATCAGGCTGTACTAGTGAAGTCACAGAACACATCATGGCTAAAAATAGCAGATTAAACAGAGCTAAACAATGTATTGAGATCTACAGAGTATTTCATGAATAGCGCTTCAGCCTTGCTTACTGGTTCTAAGTCTGAAATTTATTATATACTGTTGATGATTACTAGCTGTTACATTTGGCTAGGAGGAGAGAGATGAAGAATTGTGATTTTTAAGAGCATGCATCCTGAGCCAAATGGTTTATCATTAACAACAAAAGATGTTGATCAGCAAGACAGCTAATGAGCCAGGCATATTTTAGATTCCCAGATTTAGAGCAGCTTCTCACACTAAGACAACCTCTATATTGCAGAGACATGACTTTCACAAATTTTTTCTTTTCCAGACAAACATGGGTGGTTTTGGTACCATTACAGGGGAATCAGAAGGACTCCCATCTCCTCAGCTTCACTGCTTTCAAAGTTTAAAGAATGTTGGAGGGTTGGGGAGAGGAGAAGAAAGTGGGGAAGGGGCTCCTCTTTGTCTTGAGTGCAATGACAATGCGTCCCCACTTGCCAAAAGCTGAACAACAGATACCTCTCATAGTGTCAATAGCTAGAAGTGTCTGGGAACACTGTAATTAGTTCATTCAAATTTACCTCACAGACTCATAAATTTTAAAAACATATGAAATACTAAACACAATTAGAGAAGCCTATGACTGAGAATTTGTAGTCTACTTTGTGAACCTCCTAGTAGATGAGTGTGTGTTGGAGGAGATGAAGACCACAGTATTTTGCACAAGAGCTCTTGATATAAGCAAGGGGGGGGGGGAATGAGGGGAGTGTCTGTTCATTAGAATAGTTTTCCTTTCCATATTTTATTTTATTCTATTTCCAGGTCTGATACATGGATGAGTAGTAATTCAGGACCCAGAACCAGTACATTTCACCAGGAGGAGTTCCCTAATGCTAGGAAAGTTTTCTCCTGGCAATTTGCAGCTAGTTTACACTTACACTATCTTCATATGTTTATACTTCTTTTTCTATGATTTACAAGTATTTCTGTTCCACAAATCTCTGTGTCTGCATAGGTGCTGACTTACTAAAGATAGTTTATGTATCCAAGATGCTGACAAGAATGTTGTTTTCTTCACACAATTTAGTTCTTCAGATTATATATTCTGATACATAGTGATATTAGGCAACAAAACCAAAAATAGACTCATAAATATTAAAACATGCAAATTATATATTTTCAATAAAACATCCTCATTTGACTTTACAATGTATAGCCAGCTTTGCTTTTTAGGAAGACAGAAAGGTTCTTTAGACAATATACTGTTTCCCGCTGAGCTGTGGGATGCTGTTAATAGACTGCGAGATGTCAGGGAAGTTGAGAGTAAGCAGGACCGCTTGCTCCTGGCCCAAACTGTGCAGGGGCCTCGAGCTTCACCTCTACCTCATGAAGGAAAGAAGGAGGCCGTTAACCTGGGAAGCTGGGAATTAGTGACAAAAAAAAAAAAACAACAAAAAAAGGAAGGAAAAGGACAACCAAAAGCAAGGAGCTTCCCCTAAATCCCCTGTCCCCATGCAGAACCGCTTTGCTGTCCTGCAGGGGGCTAATGAGGAAGCGCATTCGAGCCAGAAACAGCCGGCTGATGCCCGGTAAAGAAGATCTCTCAGGTGCTGCTAGGAAAAATCGGCGGGTCGTAGTAGTAGGGGACTCTACACTGAAAGGGACAGAAGCACTCGTCTGTCTGCCTGACCCCGTCCCAAGGGAGATGTGTTGCCTACCGGGGGCACGGATCAGGGATGTGGCAGAGAGGCTGCCTGCTCTAGTAAGTCCCACGGACAATTACCCACTCCTGGTGATACATGTGGGTGCTAGGGATATAGATAGTAGTAGCCTGGGGAACATAAAGAAGGACTACAGAGCCCTGGGAGAGGTGGTTAGGGGCTCTGGAGCTCAGATGGCCTTTTCATCAATTCTCCAGGGTACAGGGGAGGACCTAAAAAAAGGTAGGAGGATTAACCAGGTTAATAAATGGTTAAAAGGGTGGTGTCATTCCACCCCAACACACCCACTCAGTTGCCAGAACCTATAATGAGTGCTCGAAGCAATGTAGAGATATCCCAGCTGCTCCAGCCAATGAGCCGGCTTCAGTTGGAGCTCGGCTCAGATGCCTCTATACAAATGCCCGTAGCATGGGGAACAAACAAGAGGAATTAGAGATGTGTGCACGTCTACGGGGGTATGATATAACAGGCATCACAGAAACACGGTGGGATGGCTCCTACGACTGGAGTGTTGGAATGGAAGGTTACTGGCTTTTTAGGAAGGACAGGCCTGGCAGGTGGGGAGGGGGAGTTGCCCTTTATGTTAGGGGTAGGCTGGAGAGTATGGAACTCTGTCTGGGGACAGGTGAGCAGTCCACAGAGAGTTTGTGGGTCAGGGTTAAAGGGAATATAGCTATGGGAGACATTACTGTGGGGATCTGTTACAGACCGCCTGATCAAGGAGAACCTGTGGATGAAGCACTCCATAGACAGATAGGAAAAGCCTCACGCTCGCAGGCCCTTGTTCTCATGGGTGACTTCAACCACCCTGACATCTGTTGGAAGGACGGTACGGCCCGGCACAAGCAATCCAGGAGGTTCCTCGATTGTGTAGAAGACAACCTCCTTCTGCAAGTAATAGAGGAGGCAACAGGGAGAGGTGCCATGCTTGACCTCGTGCTCAGCGACAGGGAAGAGCTCGTTGGGAATGCAATGCTCCAGGGCAGCCTTGGATGCAGCGATCATGAGATGGTCGAATTTGAGATCCTCAGGACAGTGAGAAGAGCGTGCAGCAAGCTCACTGCCCTGGACTTCAAAAGAGCAGCCTTCGGCCTCTTCAGGAACCTGCTTCGGAAGGTTCCATGGGATACAGCCCTAGAGGGCAGGGGGCCCCAAGACTGTTGGTTGATATTCAAGGATCACCTGCTGCAAGCTCAGGAGTGTTGCATCCCAACCAGAAGGAAGTGCAGCAGGAGGGCCAGGAGACCTCCTTGGATGGATAAGGAGCTGCTGAGGAAACTTCAAGGGAAAAAAGAGGCTTATAAAAGGTGCAGGCAAGGACAGGTGGCATGGGAAGAGTACAGGGATGTTGTCTGGGAAGCTAGGGACCAGGTTAGGAAAGCTAAGGCCCAGTTAGAATTAAACTTAGCTAGGGGTATTAAGGATTACAGGAAGGGATTCTACAGGTATGTAGCAAATAAAAAACAGACTAGGGAGAATGTAGGCCCCCTCAGGAAGCTCTCAGGAAAACTGGCTACACAGGATTTGGAGAAGGCTGAGGTTCTGAATGACTTCTTTGCCTCGGTCTTCACTGCAAAGGCTTGGACAACACCACCCAAGACTTGGAAGGCAGATGCAGGGACTGTGAGAATGAAGACCTTGCGCCCACTGTAGGAGAGGAGCTGGTTCGAGACCATCTTAAAAATCTGAACGTGCACAAGTCCATGGGACCTGATGAGATCCATCTGCAGGTCCTGAAGGAGCTGGCAAATGAAGTTGCTAAGCCACTGGCCATCATTTTTGGGAAATCATGGCAGTCAGGTGAAGTTCCCGACAACTGGAAAAAGGGAAATATAACCCCCATTTTCAAGAAGGGGAAAATGGATGACCCGGGGAATTACAGACCAGTCAGTCTCACCTCTGTGCCTGGCAAAATCTTGGAGCAGATTCTCCTGGAAGGCATGCTAAGGCACATGAAAAACAACAAGGTGCTTGGTGACAGCCAGCATGGCTTCACTAAGGGAAAATCCTGCCTGACCAATTTGGTGGCCTTCTATGGTGGGGCTACAGAACTGATGGACAGGGGTAGAGCAGTTGATGTCATCTACCTGGACTTGTGCAAAGCCTTCGACACTGTCCCACATGACATCCTTGTCTCTAAATTGGAGAGACATCAATTTGATAGGTGGATCACTCGGTGGATAAAGACCTGGCTGGATGGTTGCACACAAAGAGTTGTGGTCAATGGCTCAATGTCAGGCTGGAGACCAGTAACGAGTGGTGTCCCTCAGGGATCGGTGTTGGGACCGGTCTTGTTCAACGTCTTCATCGCTGACATGGACAGTGGGATTGAGTGTGCCCTCAGCAAGTTTGCCGATGACAGCAAGCTGTGTGGTTCAGTTGACACTCTGGAGGGAAAGAATGCCATCCAGAGGGACCTTGACATACTTCTGAGGTGGGCGGATGACAACTTTATGAAGTTTAACCATGCCAAGTGCAAGGTCCTACACCTGGGTTGGAGCAATCCCAGGCACAGCTACAGGTTGGGCAGAGAAGAGATTCAGAGCAGCCCTGCGGAGAAGGACTTGGGTGTGTTGGTTGATGAGAAATGAACATGGGCCGGCAGTGCGCACTTGCAGCCCAGAAAGCCAACCGTATCCTGGGCTGCATCAAAAGGAGCGTGACCAGCAGGTCGAAGGAGGTGATCCTGCCCCTTTACTCTGCTCTTGTGAGACCTCACCTGGAGTATTGTGTACAGTTCTGGTGTCCTCAACATAAAAAGGACATGGAACTGTTGGAACAAGTCCAGAGGAGGGCCACGAGGATGATCAGGGGACTGGAGCACCTCTCGTATGAGGATAGGCTGAGAAAGTTGGGGCTGTTCAGCCTGGAGAAGAGAAGGCTGCATGGAGACCTCATAGCAGCCTTCCAGTATCTGAAGGGGGCCTATAGGGATGCTGTGGAGGGACTCTTTATTAGGGACTGTAGTGACAGGACAAGGGGTAACAGGTTCAAACTGAAATAGGGGAAGTTTAGATTGGATATAAGGAGGAAATTCTTTCCTGTTAGGGTGGTGAGGCACTGGAATGGGCTGCCCAGGGAGGTTGTGAATGCTCCATCCCTGGCAGTGTTCAAGACCAGGTTGGATGAGGCCTTGGGTGATATGATTTAGCATAAGGTGTCCCTGTCCACGGCAGGGGGGTTGGAACTAGATGATCTTAAGGTCCTTTCCAACCCTAATTGTTCTATGATTCTATGATTATGAACTATGCAAATCCTAGCCTGTCTTCCGAGTAGAAAACTACAGATTTCTATTTCCATGTTCCATGCCTAAATCAGCTTTTTCATTTTTATGATTAAATTCATTGCTCATATGAATCGTTCTGATAGAAAAGCATCAGTACCCTGAAATTTTCCAAATAGGTATAGAATTAGTGTTTATTGTATCTTTGTATTTCCTAAGCAGAGTGATGTTGGAGTAAAAAAAACCGAACAAACAAACAGACAGGAAAGGAAAAAAACTCACTTTATATGCTTTTCTTCTGCAGACAGATCCATCATATGCTGAACTGTATAATACTAGAACAGAGTCATAGGAAGAGAGGAGATAAGGTGTTGCTTAAGAAGCCAAATCAACTTATTGCCCTAATATCTGGAATGAAGCAACTTCAAGGAAAAACAAGTCCTTTCAAGAGGTTTGGTTTGGTTTTGTTTCTTTTTTAATTCTGGAGTGACTTTTGTAGTTCTATTTTGAAGATATCTTCTTTTTAAAGCATGTGTATCACCAATGAAGTTAACTATCTCACATATCATTTGTTGCATTTTCTGTTCACTGTAAATAAAACAAGCAAACTGAAGAGTTAGCAAAGAAAAGGGGTAAAAATAAGTGAATGGAAAAAAACCCCTATCTATTTGTATAGATAAATACAATGAGCTAGATCCAATTTTCTCATGTATGATGAAACACACATGCAAATGGGTTTCTCAGCCAAACCCTAGACTGCACAGTGTCTCCAGTAGGTGTTTTGGGCACCCTGATTCCTCCCAAAGCCAACTCACAAACCTCTGCTGTCTACTTGGCTTTCCAAACCATTTGCCCTACTTACTGTCAGTCTGGCTTGGCTTATGCCAGCAATAACACACAGATGTAGTAGCAGTATCCACACGGACCAGTCTCCCTGGTTGCTTTTATCCTATACACACAGGCGGCCTCTGACCCACAGTCTAAATCCAGTGGCTGGCACTTACACCTTCACACGCAGAAAAGAGAATATTTTGCCTTACCTGGGAAAATAGTCAGACATGGAGTTTAATGAGAAGACAGGGCAGACAGTGCTGATCAGGTACAGAGCATGGCCAGGCACACATACTGACCAGAAAGCTCTTTACGTGCAGCCAACACTTAGGCCCTTATCCCTCTATTTTTTCATACTTGTCCCTCTCAAAACCAATTTGATTCTTTCATTTCCTTCCTATGGTCCTTCCTTGAGCATCCCCTACTAAGTTTTTTCTAAAATGCTGTTCCCTGCATAGCAGGGTAAGTCCTGTACTGCAGCAGGTAGCACGCTTCTCAAACTGAGAGGTGATGAGGTGACTTTCTGCTGCCAGCCTGGGGCAGTGGAGCTGACACTTTCCTGGGGCAGGGGCTCAGGCGTCTCATGAGGCTGTTGAATCACCCCACCTGCCAGTGACATGCTGGGCTGCACAGTATGGTTGAAAGTAAGCCTTTAGTCACATACCTGACAGAAGTTTCTCTCCCTTGTGAAATGCTGTCATCTAGTCCTAATTACCTAGTAAATACATAGCAGCAATAGTGAATAGCTACTAGCTACCTTATTTTCTAC